TGCTCATCCTGCCGCCTAATTCTTTTTTTTTTTTTTTTTTTTGGTTTTTCTCCGGTACTGGGAACCGAACTCATGACCTTGCGCTTGCCAGGCAGGCGCTTTGCCGCTGAGCTAAATCCCCAGCCCCTCTTCTCTGGTCTTAATGCTGGTCAGCTGGTCGGCTGTGGTGCCTGCTCAAAGGCACATAATAACAAATGATACATTCTTTTGGCTGAGCGTGGAGCCAGAATTCTTCCTTGGTAATTTAATCTGTTCTAGGGAGAGCTATGGATCCCCTGTAAATTCTGGCTGAAACTTACAACCAACCATGAGGAGCTTTTAGCCACAGGATCCACAATTGTAACAAAGTTGTTACTCTGCACAACTATCCCAACAAGCCAGGCATCGAGTTGGCTAATTTCTAAGGTCTCTATTGGGCTTAGGGCTGGAGGCTGGATCACAACAGCATGTTCAAATGTTAAAGGGATAGATCCCGAAGGAAGGCAGAAGATGAAGAGTAGAAGGAAGAGTGCTAGCAGCCAAAGCCTGTCAGAGTGGGAAACAATGGTGAAGCTCAGAGAGAAGAGACCCTCCGAGCATTCTCAGAGGAGGGAGAAAGGGAATGATGGATGAGTATAAACAAGCTGGCAAATTTGGTGGCAGGAAGTTATAAGAATTTTCATCTTTTTCTCTGTAAAGTAGGAGGCAAAAACAGTCATCTTCCAATAAAGATGAAAGTGTCAGTGCAGCAGAATGGCCAACACCATTGCCTGACCCAGCAACATCAATTTCAGTGCCCCTCGGCTTTGCATTCCCTCAATGGCTCCCAAATACCTGCAACAAGGAATACAAACGGAATTTGTGGGGGTTTCTTGAAAAGCTTTTTGCTTCTTATGGCTGGCACCCCTTTTCCTGTTTCCTGATTGACTCCAGATGTAGTTCCTGGAGCTGGGACAGCTGTCTCAAAAACCTGAGAAAATAAGCATGCAAGAAATACTAAAAGAAGGGCAGAGACATGAGCCTGACCAATCACTATCTAGCTGGTAATTGACAGCCAGCAGCAACCCACTCTCCAGTTTTCAGGTTATAAACTCCTGTGTGTTTAAGCCACCAAAGACGGATCTTGCACCTAGAGGCACTTGAAACTAATACAGGAAGGTTGAGGACAGTGACAAATGTCTGACTTGGTCTTTGAAGACAACAGGAGAGAGGAAAAAAGAGAAGATGGGATTATTGGTAATACTGAAGACCCAGATGAAGTGGCATCTACAAAACAACACTGATTTCATTTTGGAGTATTTATTATTCCCGGAAGTTAGTTAATCCAATGGGAGTGCTAATGTCATACTGATTTTTATCACGCTTAGCTCAAATCATAGTAATTCTCATTTTATATAAATGAATACCATTTACTCACTAGGAGACCCATGTAGGTGCAAAATATCTCAGAGTACCCAGTAACATTCTTTACAACTCATCACGTACTTAGTATGATTCACACCACTCTGTGGTGAATGAATTCAGATTATTCATAATAAAGAGTACACAATCCTATAAAATCCATGGTTTCACCAACTGAAGACAATCAGAAGACCTGATGTGGAATCTTCCATCTCATTCACACTGAACCTAAAAAAAGCACTTCCCACAAGTAAACAGTAATTCATAGTACATTTATCTCTGAGGCATTTGTTGCTTTAATAGATGACTTGGTCTTCTCTTTAATTACAAAGAAAATGAGCCCTAAATAAAAAGATACCTACATTTAGAATAACTTTTTTTTTACTTAGAATAAATTATTACACACAAAACCCAACACATATTCAGTAGTGCTACAAAGCACAATCACTATTAGAAATAATGTATAATAAAATTTACACTTACTTGTCTCCCGTTATGAATCTTACATTTACCAGTATACTAAGCAGAGTACAATTCCATATTCATTTCTGGAGTTACTTTGGGCACTAGACATGGTCAGATTTTCTGAGAATGAAATATTACACTTTATCAGGGATCCACCAGGCAAGCCTACAAGCCTCTTCCTTTTTCAAGGACTTTCACTTCTGAGGTCAGCTTCCTTGGTGGCTAACTATGCCTCCACGAAAAACAAAACAATATGTTTCTTGTTTGTGTATTGTATATATGTGTATTATGACACATTTGTTGTGTTCGCTTTGGCAGCACATATATTAAAACGGTGACACATATATCAAGAATCCCTAGAAAAGGGAACATTTTATTGTATGTTGTCAGACTGATTTTAACAATACATAAGACTGTCAGTTAAGTGGGGAACTTGAATTAAATATGGATACAACTACACCCTATAGATGATACACTAAAAATGTTGTCTTAAAACTTATCAACTAGGTGGACTCTTTAAATGGAACTTCAGCGGTTTCTTCATTTGTACAAAAGATCAAATTCCACAGTCTCATTTCATGACTGACCTTACAAATCCTGAGAAGGCTGTCTTGTGGGGCCTGAAACATATTTAAAGCTGATTTATGCCAGAAAAGTAGACACAAAGAACATTGAAGAATAGTCTCGAGCTGGTAAGGACTTGCTTTCCCAGGTGAGCTGTGGTGCACTTCTCATTCCTGCACTTGCTGACATTGTGCTACATCAGTCTTGTAGTCTGGGATGGTCTTGTTCCTCACCTCCTTCCCTTCTTTATATTATGATGATCATCACCCTTATAAAAGCACCCCAGAATGGTCCTGATTATTATGGAAACATTCCTTAAATTTGTGTCATTCCTTAAAAACTCATAGACAAGCATCTTAATGCTTCCATTGTTATTAATTACATTATAAAAGAGACTATTTTTTCCAGCACAGGAAATTTTAGAATCATCAACAGTGTGTAGAGCTTTCGAAAGATTGTCTTTTTTTTTTTTTTTTTTTTTGGTAGAAGGAATCAAACTCAGGGGCTCGCACTTGCCAGGCAGGTGCTGCACCGCTGAGCTACATCCCCAGCCCTCATAAGATATTAAGTAATTTTATTTACCTACCTCCTAACAATGACTGTAGACCCGTGAGCTTAGTTTGTGAGATAAATATTCTTTTGGGCCTCCTCAATACTGTTATCATATTGTGAATCTGGCAACCAAAGAAAAAATAGGAAAAATTTTAGAGTGGCTTAATCTTTAGTCCTTAGAATTCTACTGCTCAGGTTATGAAATGAAGAAAAATATCTGTTATATTGAGTAACACATTTCTTCTCAGCTGGGAAAATGCTTATTTTTTAAAGTCATGAGTATACTAGTTCATTATTTTAGTTAATAATGTAAATAGAAGAAAACATCTGAGAATGTCTTTTGAAAGGCTGCTTAGGGATGGAAATATGAACTAATCTTTGGAATCTCGAACACTGGAATTGACAATAAGCAGAAAAGCAATAAGGCTGACATGAGATACTCTTCCTTCTCTCCTGTGATCCTTGAAAGGAAAATGGAGTCCACTAAAACCACTGACTCATACTAAAGGAGTGTTTGTGCCTTTTGTCTTCTCGTATTCTGCGAAAACTCAAAGTAAATGCTTTGGTTCCCTCAGGACACTGATGGAATTTTTTCTCTAATGTGTCTTTTTCTATGTCTAAAAAGATTTGAACTTTGACTAAAGGCTTTGCCACAGTCGTGACACTTAAAGGGTTTTTCCCCAGTGTGGGTTCTTTGATGCTGAATCAGAATTGCACTTCGGCTGAAAGCCTTTGCACACTCATCACATACATAAGGCTTCTCTCCACTATGAATTCTCTGATGTAAAATAAGGGCCGAGCTTTGACTAAAGATCTTGCCACACTGATCACACTTATGTTGCTTTTTTCTAGATGGGTTTCCCTGTCTTCTTGAAAACCTGCCATCTTGTTCCCAGGTTCCTTGAGATGTGAAATTTTGGGAGGTATCCACATGAAGGGAGTTAGAAACATCACGATGCAGTTCTGTGCCTGAGGAGGTTTTTTGCCTCGAAGCAGATTTCACATTTCCAGTTTTGGTGTCTTCATCTGAAATAATAAACAGAAAAAGCAATGTCACCAGTTCTCTGTTCACAAAGAAAGAGAACTAGAATGCCACAAATACTTATATGAATTATTAGCTAGCATGTGGGGAGAACCAACATCACAGTACGGAGGATGAAGAAGGTAAGACAAAATGTTGAGAAGATCATGAGGCAAAGAGAAACAAGTGTTTACATACTAAGGGGCAGCCAACGATAAAGATGCAAAGCTCTACTGAAGAAGTCGAATGGTGAGTAAGGGGAAGAAGATATGTCAGAGACAAGGGAAAGTCTGGAAGACAAGAAAAAGGCCTAAAAGATGAGCAACTATTAGTGGAACAGATAGTAACTGGAAGGAGAGGAATCAAATATGAGTAATGAACAAGATCTAACACAAGAGTGTTCATAAATAGAACAAAGCTTAATAGTGAGAAATGAATCAAGAACTAAGCAAATAAATGAGCTGAAGAAAGTCAACAAGTCAAAAAAGGAATACGGAAAGTGCAGGTAGAAAATACAACTTAGGCAAAAAAGGGAGGGTGATAAACTAGAAAAATGGCACCTCAAAAGATCAAGTGTAGTGCAGGGTACCCATCTACCAGAAACCTCTACTCTATAATTTACTGAATGTAAATTATAACACCGGCTAAATGGCTAAGTTTCCTGTATTGTTTTATACTGCATTTAAAGTCTAAGAAAAAATAAGTATGGTTGCTTATACACTGTGGTCACTTAAATCTAGCTGGTGTAGAGGACTTGTGACACAGGCTACCTAGAACTCTAGGAGAGCAGGTAACTGAATGTGAGTATGTACCAAAGGGATTGTTTCAGTGATCCTCAGGTGCATTTTAATGGAAGCTGCTAAAAGGCACCGGTATAAAATCATCCTGCAACAAGCAACATTTGGGACACAGTGAGGACATGACATGGCTGGAGCTGACCACATAGCTGGAGAGTGATTCCTTTACCCATAGGCATTTCGTAGGTGGTCTCAGGAAATGAGAATGACGGTAAGTAATTCTGAGTCCTCTTAAGGTCCAATCAAAAAGATAACATGAGAAAAGTGGGTTGGAGAAGAGATGTCAGTGACTGAGTGAGACACTGACTAAAAGCACTAGGAGTTATTTTTTTAAATCCTTAGAATTTAGTTAAAAATGAGTCTAAATATAGTTAATACAAGATGAATTAAAATTCTTGTATTTGCTCATAAACACAGCATCCTCATTTATTAATTATTACTGGTTTAAACAGAAGTCATTTTACAAATGATAAAGATTTTGGTTTTGATAGCTCAGAGTCCAAAGTGACATCAATAATTAGTCACTACTATACTATCAAAATCCTGACAACTGTTAGCCATTCCGTAGTGCTGAGACCAACAAGGCCATGACTCAGAACCACAGAAATCATGTTGCAGCCTTACAAGATGGTTCTTACTCTCACGTGACTTTGGTTCTGTCTACTTTGCACTGAAGAATCCTGGAATCTTTGACTTTCTGTTTCAAATTCCCATGCATTTTTTAAATGTAGGAAATGTCTCTGGGGGGGGAACTTCACAGGTAGAACACAGCTTTTGCCAACACTAGGAGCCTATGCCCCGGCTTTGAGTCTGATGGCCTCTAAAAGGGTGAGGCTGAGATGTTTTCCCTCCCATTTCTTTTTTAAAAATTTTTAAATTTTTATTAGTACATGCTTGCAGTACATAATAATTACACTCATTGTGAGGAACTGGTATATGTACGTAATGTATCTCAAATTATTTCCCCTTCCCCCTCCATCCCTCCTACTTCTGATGCTTAAGCAAGATGATTTCTAGGCTGAAGGTGTTAAATGCTTAGTACAAGCCTGTGGGAGCAGGCACTTGGCATGTAAGAGTAAAAATCTTTTCTAAACATCTCTTTAGGTTTCTGTATTTTCCAACTTTGCTTAGTTCCAACTCAGCCAGCCCTGCAATACAGAAGCTGTGTGTGTGCACGGTGGTGGTGGTTTCCAAATGAGGTTTCCCTCTTGATCTCTGGCTCCCATTTTATCCAGGATGATCATCTAGAAGGACAGTCTCTGCTCAAATGTCATCACTTCATAATAAGACCCTGTCCCCCCCCCCCCGACTCTATCCATCTACTTTGTTTTTTCTCCCATGTTCTTTTTTTTTGTACCTGCAGTATAAGTACAGATTGCTATGCGAGCCATTTTGGAGCACTTTCGTAAAAATCCGATGCAGAGCAACAGAAGCCACTTTAGGACATGAGTGAGAAGAGAAACATATTCAAAGCACCCTGACAGAGCAAAGTCATCTTAGCAGCAGCATGGGCAATTTTGCTCCTGGATCCCATAGTAAGCGGAAAAGCGGTTACACAGGAAATGATAGCAGATGAATGGTCTCTTGACTGTGTGCCTTGGAGTCCCACAGAAGGACTTTAGGAAAGTCCTTTTTCCTGAAAGGAAAAAGGTGGAAATGAGGCTGAACTGGAGACCTTGAGGAATGGGCTTCTGCTTCACACAGAGGAGCTATGTTTTCCTCTGGATAAAGTAGAAGAGGACGAGACAGAAGAGAGATTTGAGACCTGTTAAAGCAGCCAGGATGTGTGGGGTGTTCTGGGCCCTCTTCACTTCCCACCAGCAGCTAAGTCCTGCACCTCACCATGCTGTCTTAAGGAGTGCAGCTCCCACGATGCCCACTGAAGCTGCTTTTTCAAGGGCTTGAGCCGGCTACTCGGTAATTCCTGAGTGACTTCCCAAGATGCCAGCTTCTCTGCCATGATGTCCTTTCTTCTTCCAAAAATGACCTGGGAACAGTTAGGTATAACTGAGGCTGAAGAAGGGCAGCAACAAGGGACTTGGGGATAAAATAACTGAGAAGAAAGCATGCAGAAAATATCCTAGGCTCAGAAAAAAGGAGGTGAAGAGCAGAGCTGTGATCTGTCTCCTAGGACATCCAGGAGTACACTCCGCAGTCTGAGCCTCCAGTTGTGCTGCACGGGAAAACGACTGGATAGCTCCCCGCTCTGTGATGTGCGGTGGTCATTTCCCTCAGGTCCCCTTCTTACCTGCATGCCTGGCGGGTCAACTTCTCTCTCCAGCTCCTCCAGCAGGGTCACAGCTTCCTCTCCGTTCTCTGGCCGGTGCCTCTGCACGCAGGCCTGCAGCTTCTCAGGCAGGATGGCCAGGAACTGCTCCAACACCAGCAGCTCCAGGATCTGCTCCTTGGTGTGCACCTCTGGCCTCAGCCAGCGATGACAAAGTGCCCGGAGCTGGCTCAGAGTCTCCCGGGGCCCAGTGGAGCCCGAGTAACCAAAGTGCCTAAACTGCAGGCGGCAGGTCTCTGGGCTATAGCAGCTGCTCCAGTGGACATCAGAGTCTGGATCACAGGCCTGCTCTTCCTCTTCCATTTTCACTATCAGAAGCCCGCCAGGCTCCTCTGGACTTTGTGGAAGGCAAGTTGAAGACTCTCTCAATTCCGCAGACATTTTGACTGGAAATAGGTCAGGACAGTGAGGCTTTAATCCTTAAGGCAGTGGAGCTCTTCTTATGGACACTCCCTAAATAAGGCTAAGGAAACAAGTGGGAACAAGACGAAGGACAAATGTTTCTTAGAATAAACCAACCAAAATTAACACATAAGGCTGTACAGAAAAGAAAGTATTCACCTTAATCTTAATATAAACCATGGTTTCAAAGAGTATTTCTTTAAGAGAACCAAAGAACTAAGACTTATTAATTCATAAGCATGAGTAATTCCCAATTTATTCTGAAATCCATGCCGAGACCAAATATCATAATAGGAGATCAGACAAGATTGCAAAGGAACTCCCAGAGAATAGAAATAAGAGAAGTCGAGACAAGCTGGCTCTGGAGCAGGTTCAAAGAGCCAATTAGTTTTATCTACTCTGCTGAAGAGAGCTCAGAGAAACAGTTTCATGAGAAAGGGCTTTTGTGTAAGTTTTTTCAACTTTTGCTAATTATTAAAAGTTATTTTGACACTAAAGAAACCATTTATAGCCGGGCATGGTGCTGCATGCTTGTAATCCCAGCCCTCAGAAGGCCGAGGCAGAGGATCGTTGTGAGTGTGAGACCAACCTGGGCTACAAAGTGAGCTCAAGGCCAGCCTGAACTGCATAGCAAGACCCTGTCTCAAAAAGACAAAAAACAAAAACCATTCAAAAGAAAAAGCAATTACATATTCCATCATCTTTTTTTTTTTTTTTTTTTTTGGTTTTTCTCCTGTACCAGGAACCGAACTCACCACCTTGCGCTTGCCAGGCAGGCGCTTTTGCCGCTGAGCTAAATCCCCAGCCCCACCATCATCTTACTGTATTCTCACTTTTCACAGTCACTTCTACTCCCATTTGTAATATCTATAGTGTTATGCTGAGAGGCACATCTTCATAAATATACTATTTTTCTCTTTTCAGATTATTTCCTTCAAGCATATCCTAAGGCCTCTGTCTATTAGGGGTCAGAGAAGAGTGGTAAATTCTACCCTGTTGTCTATTAGAAATAAATGGCAACAAAAGGCTATCAGTTTACAATGGTATCTGCAAGTATTATTAGTTTGCTAACAAGAGGGAGGAGATCCTTTTCTTTGTGCCATCTTAGTGTAAGTTTCAGCAGTAATTAATAACATTTAAAAAGCTGGGACAGTGATTTGGGACAAGTTCAGCAATGACTAATTTAAAAATCCTAAGTGTACCCCATTTTGCCTTTATGTAGCCTGCCGTTTGATTTTTTCCTCCCACTCCACCAAGTACTGTTCTAGGCACTAAATATACAGCGGTGACCTGAGTAAAGCCTGTGGCTTCGTAAAGCTTATGTCACCAAACAAATCATACAGCTTTACATCGTGTTGTATAATGCGAATCCTAACAGTGCACATAGAGATTTACTATATGTCAAGCACTGTTCTAAGCACCTTAATAAATAAAGCTTATTTATAGCCTCATAAAAACCCTAGGAGGTTACTCCCCATATTGTAGATGAGGAACCTGTCACAAACAAGCCAAGGCAGGTTCAAGCTAAGGCAGATTCTGTGCTCAAGGACAAAGAGGCAGCGCTCTCCAGAGCGCGGTGCAGTCCTGGGAGGCGACTCCTGCCCTCTGGCCCAGGGCAGAGGAAGAAGGGTCCTGCAGCGGCACCTCGATGAGCCCGGGCGGGAACAGAGTATGAGGGAAGGGATCCGAGAGGTAGGAAGGGTAGGCGTCAAGATTTTGGAGCCATCAGAGACTCGAGACTCGGAACACACAGCACTTCAGCACCAGGGGGAAATTGTGCCGTTTCCACAAAAGCTGTCAACCCAACAACCCACCGGCAGCAGGCGGTGACCTACAAGGCTCCCCCGAGCCCGACGCAGGGTTCTTTGCGACTCTTGCAAACTGCCGCTCTGGTGGGCTGCCTCGGACGGCCCAGGCCACCCCTTCCTCCCCGCGCTCCGCTCCCGCACGCGCGGCGCTCCGGGCTCCGGGCTCCGGGCTCCGGGCTCGGGGAAGGGCAGAGGGCGGCGGGGCAGATGGGGCACTAGCCCGGCTAGCACTGCGGAGGGGGCTGCGCCGAGGCACCCCTACATCCCCACTAGTGACGGCCGCTTCTGCCCGCGACCTCTGGGCCTGGCCTGGGATCAGTTCTCACCTCCCGGCAGGGAAGGACTGGTGTGGCGCCGGCGGGAGAAAGCCAGGGAAGAGCGAGGCTCCGGGAAGCTTCCGGTCCTCTAGGCCCGGTGGGGGCGGGGCCCGGATGCAGTGCGGTTGCCATGGAGACGACCCCTCGCCGCCTCCACCTTCACACTGCTTGGGAGGGCGGAGAGTGTTGCGAGGAGAAGATGGGGTGGGATCCAGCTGCGTTGTGTGCCAGTTCAAACACATCAGCACTGTTATTCCTCAAAGAACTTTCACTTCCATTATTTCATTTACTCTTTCAACAACTCTGTAAAGTTAAGGAAAATAAAATCAAAGGTCCTGGACTTGCTCAAGGTCACAGAGTTGGAGACTGCTGTGCTTTCTAATCCTGAGCATAGCTTTCCTCTCATCATAGCACCAGGCCCCTGAAAGTGGTTGTACCCCTGGCATAGACTTCTTAAGGAGCAGGTCCGACGCCCCGCACTCCGTCTGCCCCCCAAGACATAGTAGCTGTTATCTTTTCAGTGAGAGCCTGCTCCCCACCACACATACACACACACATTTTGTCACAAGTACATAAATTTATATTCCCTCGAATATGTTTAAGTGCACTTGAAAATAAATTCGGGCTGGGCATGGTGGTGTACACCTATAACTCCAGCACTTGGAAGACTGAGGCAAGAGGATCCCTGTGAGTTTGAGGTCAGCCTAAACTACCAGATTTTGTCTCAAAAAAAAAAAAAAAAAAAAAAAAGTTTGGCGCTACACATGGCACAGCTGGGTATTCTGGGTTTCTCCTCCATTCACATTCCCTTGGGACTCCTCAAAAATGTAGAAGGAAGTAGGGGAATAAGGAAGAGGACCGAGACACTAGAAAACTATTTGGTAATTCATAAACAGCACTAACATTACTATAAAGAACTGCGCAAGGCAGAGAACAGCCAAGATCACTCGGCTTGTGTAAAGGCAACATGGGTGGGATTTATTGTACCTAGGTGCAGGCAAACAGAGGGCAAAAAGGCCATCTACAGGGTGCAAAGAGAAGCAGTCTTTTTCATATAAAAGGGAAGAAGAAAGAAGACAAGAAACATTAGGCAGGAAGATCTTAGTAAAACATCAGTGGTCAAAGTTCTCTGGATGTCTCGGCCTCAGTGTGCAAAGTCCGCTATAAATGTTTGGGCATCTTCAGATGTCCCAGTGCTTGGAAAATTCCATGCTCCATCTTATCTTTTTTACAGCATCCTGTTTGCAGAGGGCACAGGCTCTGCTGGCAGACGGGTTAGGTACTGGAATAGTCATGTCTGAATTGAGCCTTACAATTACAAAAAAACCCTTCTGCTAGCTCCCTCCTGCCAAAAGTGTTCTAGTACAAGAGCCTGAACGGAAGAGAGAAAAGACTAACTGACTCAGTCTATAACCTAGGGAATGAGGTGAGGAACAATAGCAGCTTTGAACAGATTAAAATTTACAATTTTAAATTGCCCTTCACCCTGGGGCATTATGGCACACATAGCTTAAGCACTTGGGAGGCTGAAGCAGAAGAGTTACAAGTTTGAGTCAAGCCTAGGCTACCTATCTAGCCTACCCATGTAGATTATTAGGCTATATAGAGGCTACCTATGTAGTTCAAGGCCAGCCTGAGCTGCATAGTAAGATCCTGCCTCAAAACAAATAAACAAAAGACACACACACACACACACACACATGCACACACACCACTCCTTAAGGACATTACATTTGAAGTCATTTCTACTTCAGACAGGAAGTTTCATAGGGTAAGGTGCGCATTTTGGGGTTTTTGTTTTTGTTTTGTTTTGTTTTTTCTGAGGCAACTGTTATCACAGAGGGCAAAAGAGCCCAGAAATGCAGAAGGGGATATGTTTATGGAAATCATACACAGGTCTCATACACTAAATGCCTGAAGTCAGGGAGACTCTGAAACAAGAGCAATGCTTGGTAAGATGTGAAGTGACAGGAGCAGGTTTAAGGAGAAGACAGTAAGCAGTAGGCAAAAACTGTAAGGGGGAACACGGAACTGTAAAAGGCTGTAGGATTTCCCAGGAGGTCAGGAATGAATTAGTGGGAGAAGGTTCCATCAAATAGTCAGAACTCAGACTAACGTAGAAAACAATCAAATAAAAGAAGGCACAAATTAAAATATTGATCAGAAAAGTTATACAGAGCAAGTTAGATAGAACAAGAGCAGGTTTTGGGGTTTTGGAGGGTATTTTGGCTCAAAATTATTTTTATTAAGCATCTTGCTATGGTTTGTCTGGATTCCCCCCACCCCCAAGCCTCATGCAGTCATGGTGGGAGGGCCTTTTCAGAGGCGACTGAATCTACATTGTGTGATTGGTTCACTGTCTAGTGCTAGGGTTGGAGGTGTGAGTCCTATACCTGCCTTAGGGTGGGTAGCTCACATACAGTGTAAGGGAGGAAAAGAAGCTTGCTCCTCCCCTCTTTTGCTCCTGTTGCTTTTGGTATCTTTTGCCACCATGAACAGTTGCCCCTCAGCCACACCACCCTGCCTTGGAGCCAGTTGAGTATGGACTGAAAGCTCCACAAACTGTGAGCTAAATAAACCTTTCCTTTCCTAATTTTGGGCATTAGGTATTCTGTCTCAGCAATGAGAGAAAAGCAACTAAGACACAGCTACAAGTACTTTAACCAATAAGAAAACATATAGAACATAAGGAAAATTACATTAAGTCAGAGTTCAAGGCCAGCCTGGAATACAGAGTGAGGTTAAAGCCAGCCCCGATGATATAGTGAGATAATACCTTATAAAAAACAACAATACCTACTTTGAGAACTTGTACTCTAACAAGAGGGAAAACTCAGAAGAAATTGACAGATTCCTAAATACATGTGAATTACCAAAACTGAATCAAGAAGCTGTAAAAGTTCTAAATAGCCCAATATCTGCAATGAAATTGCAGAAGTAATTTAAAAGCAGCCAACAAAGAAAAGCCAAAAAAAAAAAAAATGCCTCACAGATTCACTGGTGAATTCTATAAGAACTTTAGAGAAGAACTAATGCCACTACTTGTCCAATTCTAGTAAAATTGAAAGGGAAGCAATACCTTCAGTGTCATTCCTGGAAGCAACCATTACACTGATACCAAAACCAGAAAAGGACCTAACCGAAAAAGAGAACTATAGGCCAACCTCTCTAATGAACATAGATGCAAAAATCCTCAATAAGATACTGGCCAACAGAATGCAGCAAATCATCAAGAAGACTATGGATCATGAGCAAGTAGGATTTATCCCACAGATTCAGGGATGCAAGTCAGTAAATGCAATATGCCACATATCAGTAAACACAATACACCACATTAACAGAATGGACAAAAACCACAAGGTCAATACATGCAGAAAAAGCATTTGACAAAACCCAACACCCATTCATGATAATAAAGAAACTTGATAGAAAAGTGGAACAGAAAGTCTTTCTCTCAATCTGAAAAAAGTCATCTATGGCAAACCAACACCCAACACCATACTAAATGGTCAAAAACTGAAAGCTTTCACTATAAAATCAGGAATAAGACAAGGATGCCCACAATCATCAATCCTATTCAACATAGTTCTGGAAACATTAGCCAGAGCAATTAGACAAGAGAAAGAAATAAAAAGAATAAGGATAGGAAAAGAAGAAGTTAAATTATTATTTGTGAGTGACATAATACTCTACATAGAAGACACCCAAAACACCACCAAATTTAATTTAATAACCAAATTAAATATAATAAACAAATTCAATACCATAGCAGGGTATAACAACCTATATTTAATAACCAAAATGAGTAGTATAGCAAGATACAAAGTCAACACTCAAAAATCAATAGCATTCTTGTACATGAATAGTAAATTCACTGAGAGAAAAATTACAGAAACAACACCTTTCACAGTAACATCCAGCAAAATGAAATACCTAGGAGTCAGTCTAACAAAGAAAGTAAAAGATCTCTACATTGAAAACTACAGTACTCTGAAAAAGGACACTGAAGAGAATACCAGAAAATGGAAAGATATCATTTGTTTTTGGATAGGCAGAACAAATACAGTAAAAAATGGCCATACCTCCAAAACTGTTGTACAGATTTAATACAATATTCAAAATAACAATAGCATACCTCACAGAACTACAGAAAACAATTCTAAAATTCATTTGGAAGCAGAAGAAACTTAGAATAGCAAAAGCAATACTGGGCAAAAAAGGCAAGGCAGGGGGCATCACAATTCCTGACTTGAAATTATACTACAAAGCTACTGTCATAAAAATAGCATGGCCCTGGGGGGAAAAAAATAAAACAGACCCAAAGATTAATGGAACAGATTAGAAGATGCAGAAACAAGTCCAAACACACTCAGCTCCTTATCTTTCACAAAGAAGGCAAATACCTTTGCTGGAGGAAAGATGGCCTCTTTAATAAACGGTTCTGGGAAAACTGGCTTTCCACGTGCTGCACACTAAACCTAGATCTACATCTCTCACCATGCACTAAGCTAAAATAAAAATGGATCAGAGATCTAAATATTTGTTATGGTTTGTGTCTGGATGTCCTCCCAAAGCCACATGCAGTCATGGGGTGGGCTTTTAGAGTTTTTGATTCACGGGTGTGAGTGCTACACCACCCCGGGGCAGATAGTTTGCATATGTAAGGGAGAGAAAGAGGTTGCTTGCTGCCACTCCTCCCTTTTTTCTCTGGTTGCTTTTGCTGTGTTCCACCTCCATGAACGTTTGCTCTCTGCCATGTGCCACTCTGCCTTGGAGCCAGCCAAGTAGGGAGTGAAACCTCCACAAACTGAACTAAATAAACCTTTCCTTCCTTAATTTTGGGTGTTGGGTTTTTTGTCTCAGCAATGAGAGAAAAGTAACCAAGACAATATTAAAATAGGAATACTTCATCTGCTGGAAGATAGAATAAGTAAAACTCTTGAAAATATAGGTATAGGCAAAGACTCTGTATAAAATATACAGAGTCTACGTATACAAAGTCTATGTATAAAACCCCAAATATACAAAAACTAATACAAAGGATCAATAACTAAGGTCACATGATATTAAAAAGCTTCTGCACAGCAAATGAAACCACGAACAGAGTGAAGAGACAACCTACAAAATGAGAAAAAAATTTTCACCAGCTTCTCCTCAAAGGACTAACATGTAGAATATATAAAGAACTCAAATTTAAAGACCCAATCCAAAAAATGGGAATCTGA